AATCTGTCACACTAAATGACTTTTACTTGTTAACATGTTTATTTCCCCTGTTAGATTCTAAGCTCCTTATGAGAATGCACATTATCCTCTACATCTTTGCATTTCCATACCCAGGAGAGCCCCGGAATACGTAGTAGGGGCTCAATAAATACCGTTGCAAATAGAATTGAATCTGGTAGTCATTATCATGGTCATCAGCCCACGGTTAGTGGGCTTTCGCAGGAGTATAACTTGTTGGTAGGTGTTATGTTTAGTGCTTCAAGTGGTGGAAGGAGAGACAACCAACCTCCTTGCTGATTCCGATGTGAAGAAAAGCGGGCCCCTCTAAAATAGGAAGTAAAGAAAAAAACTAGAGAAGCCTGAAATGTGTTCATTTTGTCTCTCTTGGATGCCAGAGATTGAGATTTTAGTGCAGGCCAAGCCACTTATCTTAGAGGTTCTGACAAATTTTCTGGGAAAAAATAAAAGAAATGAATAAAATTAAAATCTGTGGTCGGAAGGTTACAGAAAGGAAAGGCACACATTTCTACTAGGGAATAGGAAGTGGTCTTGTCTTCCACAGCAGGGCTGTCTAATAAATCTGGAGAGTTTTATTGACTTCATAGGCGCAAAAATAACCACCCGGAGAAGACATCGGGTTTCACTTATTTTTTTGGAAAGTAATTTTTCACAGACGCGAGGTTAAAAGAAAGTGGTTGCACGGGCCTCGGCTGGGGTGGTGTGTCTTCTGGTATGCGTAATGCAACTGGATCTCAATTCTGGGACGATGCCCAGTTTCAGAGGTCTAAAGCCTCTGTTGAAAGCAATGAGGACAAAGTGTTGCCAAAATTTTATGTATGCAACTGTAGATCGATTGTCTTAGTGCAAGGATAGACTTTGATCAAGAGCGTCTGGAGGGAGGGGTTTCATTAAATGCTGTTTTCAACCCTTAATTCTACAGCTTTTACGTCTACTTGTTCCTAAGTCTACCACAGACCCCAAATGGCCCTGACACAGAGAAGCCCCTCCCCAAACCCACGTCTGGCTCTCAGGCAGCAACGGGGACTGGCACGGAAGAGTTCTTGGGCAGAAAGGTGTTGCTCCTTCCTCTCTGGTTTTTGGTCTCATGTTAGACCATTCAAAGAGGAAAATGCTGGAAGCTCTCCCCCTCCTGCCTCATGTCTGTGATTCATTAGGAAAACTTGAAAACTTCCCTTACGCAAAGACAGGCTTTCCTAAGAAAAGGATTGATAAGAGTATGTTTGTTGGATAAGTTCTTCCTTTTAAAAACGTCTGGCCAAGAATAGAAAATTCAGCCAGTCTCAGTGTTTGTGTCCATTTCTGAACTCATTTAATTGTCCTCAAAATCATGGAAAATATGGCAACTAGGTAATATTTCTAACATTTTATAACTTTCATGTTCAGTTCTCGTGGTGAACCTGCAGGGTCCTCCCCCCACAGGGAAGGCAAGGGAAACTTCTTTTCCAAGGGTCGTATTTCTCCTACGAATCAACGGGAACGCAGATAGAGCAGCTGTGGTCTTGGCCAGCTTGGTGGCGAGTTGAGCCGCCTGGTACGTGGGAGGCCCCGTGATCCTCAGCACCCTCAGCAGTCTCCACAAAACTGGACTGGGGTCTCAGAGTGAGGCCTTTGGATTGGGAATCAGGAAATAAATAAAATCTAAAACCACACCAGCTGAAATCATCACTGCCTTTTACAGACGACAAAAATAAATGGGTGGTTTTGAAACATTTTTTTTTAGCAGCAGAATTCTTTTTCAAAGGAAAATCTTAAATAATAAAGTAGCAAACATTTATTGCGTCCTTGGCATGTGCAGGAACTGGGCTAAGCCCTTTACATGCATAGTATTATTTGATTTAATCTTCTCTACTCTTAAATAGGCACTGTTATCTTGTCTATTTTACAGATGAGGAAAATAAGAGATCAACCTGTTCCAGATAACACAATATATAACCCACCATATGAAACAGATCAAAGCGGGGCTCTTGTGGTGGAATTAGGATAGGAATACCAAGAACCTTTACCCCATGGCTGCCTTACTTCTTCATCAACCTCTTCTGTCTCCCTGAAGCCACTCCAAAGGCTTTGTGGAGCAGAGTTTGAAAATCTTTTGACTGGACAACCTCTATAGTTTCTTCCCAGACTAATGCCCAATGATCCTCATTCTGGAGATGTAAACCATAGTAATCCTCAAAATAAGCTCCTTAAGACTGGATGTTGGCAAATCTTGCTCTTCTTTAAAGGGCTAACTCAAAGTCACTTTTCACATCCCTTCAAAGAATAGGTTTTTCAAATCACTTTGCTCCAATAAACAGAGGGGTGAATTCCCTGAATTCTCGGGGGATTGTGCTGAGGTAAACATTCTGATGCTGCAAGATTAAATGTGTTGTTTACGTGAAAACAGCACTGTGGAAGTCAGGACCAATTTATATTTCTTTAATAATTAAGTTATTGAGTATTCTATAACTAACCCATTTGCTTATGCATCACTGACAAATTGTCTCTAAGAAATCCAGCCAGACACAAGATCAGGTGTTAGAATTTTCACCTCTCGGATTAGCTAGATGTCTGTCTAGGTATTGGCTCACTCAGAGCGGGGGTTTATCAAGGAAATGAGGAGACTTTCCATGTCTCTCTCAGCTTCACAAAGCAGAAACTTCCACAGGCCGAACCTCTTAACTTCTAACTCACATCAGACATCCCGAAATTGCATGATTTTAGTGTTGCTAAGTGGAGTGGGGAAAAGGCTCCTTCTTACACTGTGGTTGGGGGTGTAAATAAATATAAAATTATTGGAGGGCAATTTGGCAATAGCTATTAAAAATGAAATGCTCAAACCCTTTGACCCAGTAATAATTCACCTTCTGGGAATTCACCATAGGGAAATACTCCTACAACTGCTCAAAGATGTAAGTGTAAAATGATGTTTGCAAGTATATTTGTTACAGGGAAAAGTGGAAAGAACCCAAAATGTGCGTTAACAGGCAATTGGTTAAGGAAAGTATGGTTCAGCCACACAGTACAATACCATGGAGCCACTAAAAAGAAGATTAAAATGAAGATCCCTTTTTACAGACTGTCATGGGAAGATGGCTAAGACATATTGCTAAGTGGAAAATAGCACGCTTCAGAGTCAAGAGTATAATCCCATTTTTGTAAAATAAACAAAATTTTAATACATGCCTCGAAAAACGTTAACTGGTTTTCTCAGCTGTGTGGGATTATGGAGGATTTTCACTTTCTATGCTATATATTATACAATGTTTCAAGTTATTTATGTGTGTGTGTATGTATATATATATGTCTATACGTCTATATATATATATATGTCTACATATATATATGCCATTACTTTTGTAATCAGAAAAAATAAATGTTCCTGTGGCTTGGTCCCTTGAGAGTCCTGTTAGGAAAGTGTGGAAGCCTGGTTCAAATCCGTCAACTTTACTGGAAAACAAAACTTAGCTGACATTGGAACAGTGAGGCTGCTCAACGAAAAGGAGGACCAGGCATGGAAATTTTTCTGTCCTTTAGAGTCTATAAGCCATTATAATAATAAGCCCACAACGGAGTGTTCTTAAAGAGAGTCTAAGGAGTATAAACGTAAGTTGCAGACAGGTTCTGAACCACTGCTGTAACTGAGAGGACATCTGAAGAGCAGAGACTCACAGGAAGAGGTCTCATCCTTGATGGTGACTTCCTGGGGGTGGGAGATGTGCATAAAAGAACAAAGAGAAGTTTGTGTTTAATTTTTACACTTTTATCAAGCTGAGATTTGGTGCAATTTATCTAGCTCAGGAGCAGATGCTCGTTTTTTTCGGGGGAGGTAGAGTCTATGGCTTATACAATTAAGGGGACTCTTTTAATAAAAAGAATGAAAAATTCCAAATGCTAAATTAGGTACAGGATTTTGGAAGGGGCCCCTGAGAAGGAGAAGTCCTTAAACTAAGCTTCATTAGCTTCTCAGCAATCCGCTCGGCTCTGACTCAGAGTTCTTAAACCAAGATAACACGGAGAGTAACGGGCAACACTTCCTTTTCTTTAAGAATTATTGTGCCAAGGAGGAGTTTCCATTTCCCATGTGGCAAAAGCTAGAGGCAGCACCCTGAGCCTGGGAGACTGAGTGATCTATGCTCTTTTGGGGATACTTGAGTTTTTGTGGATGTACAAGTTCTGGAGAAGCTCTCTTTGTTGACAGTGGCAGCCGCCCAGTTCTTGATGCTCATAAAACTATGGCAGGCAGAGTTGGAAAAGATGTATTAGGTCATCAATCTAGATTCGGGTCCAAGGCAGGAGAGTTCACTACTGTAGTCATTCCAAGCCTTTGTCCAGGCAGCTTTGAAATGTCGACGGCCTGACTCTTAGAAGGCCGTCTCTCTCCTCCAGTTCCTGGGCAAATGTTGAGGTGTTTGATGGGGAAAAAAAGCATTTTAGACTTGGAGCCACACAACTACTTAATTACATTCATTCACCTAGATTTCTATCAGTGTTTTCCATGATGAAAAGAATTTAGTGTAAAGAAATTCTTGTTGCCATGAGGAAACAAATCACTGATTTTTTTTTCCTGGTTCCTTGTATTTCAACTTTTGTGGTGAGTTTCTTTTTAGCTTTAGGAAAAAAGAGAACTTGCCCGGGTTTTCTTTAGCCAGCATTATCAAGAATGAATAACAATTAAATGCTGCTCCTGTTAACGGAAAGTAGTTTCCTAAACACTTATTTTGAGTCTGTTTACCTCTGTCTTTGGTGAACTTGATGAGTTCCCAATTTTCAGTTTATGCTTCTATGGTGCTATAAAAATGGAGAATCTGAAAGATGTGTTTATTTTCTCATGTTTTCCTTTAAATCCATATTGATAATGATCCTAGTCTCCCAAAAGATTTTGGTGGCTACTTTTTTGAAGCAAAGAGAGGAGGATTGTTCTAGATTGGAAGGAGAGTGGACTTGAATTATTATTGCTTGATTAGCGTATGCTATATGTCCTTATTGAAATCTTTTATTCCCTATGCCGTGTGTGTGTGTGTGTGTGTGTGTGTGTGTGTGTGTGGTTTGCTTGCTGCTGCTTTATGTGTTTGATGGTTTGTTAGGTGTGTGTGGTTTTTTTTTTTTTTGCCTTGAAAACACTCAAAACAATTCTCTTTTTGATAAGTAATGCTACTAGCAAATATAAAGTGCTAAAGAATAGTATTTGGATATTTGCATTTGAAAGTTCATTTCCATTTCAAGTCAAGACAAATGGGCATTAGTTTACTGATGCTAGTGACATCGGTATTAGTAATGGTTCTTTTAGCAACAAGCAACCCTCAGGAAACTTTTTTCTTTTTTTAGGATTCACAAAGATGACCTGCCAGTTAATCAGCTATCAGGAAACTGACCATAAATGCTATCTGAGTTAGACTTAGCTCAGTTTAATTAGATTTAAAAAGTTGACTGGGAATTCATCCAAAATGTGCTAATCAAAAAACAAAAGTATTTGAAAGTAGTGGTAAGAAATAGGATAATAGAGAATAAAATTAATTTTAAATCTCTTGAATTGGAAAAATTGTTAAAGATAGAAATGCTGAAGGTAATAAGATTTTTTTACTTTAAAAATAGTTCAATTCAGGATGTCTGTCACTAGGATTTTCTGCTCCTTTCAGAAATGTGCTTGTCCACACTAAAAAATTACTAACGATAATGGAAAATAAACATTTCTGAAAGGTACAAAATGACCAAAGGTACGATGTCACTGAATATCACTATATTTTACCAACCCAAAACATTCAATTTGCCAAAAGATTTTTTTATGATTTGAGAAAGCACTTAAATCTAATCTCATAAAGAAGTTAAAATATTTTAATTGTGCATTAAACAAATTCTCTTTCGGAAAAATAACGAAATTACATGAATTTAGTACTGTCTAGAAAAATATGGACTACATAATGAGAAGTTAATACTGTCGGTGATCTCAATAACTATGAGCTATACTAAACTCCTGACTGGCAAATAAATTGTAAGTTCTTAAACGGATGGATATCCGTCCTGAATAGAATCCTTTTGACATGGTTGGACTTAATAAGTGTTTGTGGAACAAATGACCATGATTGAATTCAGGCAGATCTCAGATCGTTCACTGTTTGGTGTATATTTTCCTGACTGTTAGTCATGCCTGATTTAAATAGTAACTGATAAAATGATAACAATTGTATGTTATTTACAATCCTGCCTGTGCAAATGAGCACTTTTAAATATTCTCTGAAAATTAACATGTCTATATTGTTTAGGAACTTGATTTAAAAAGAAATTAATTTGTTCATGTAACAAAAAATTCCAGTAGGAGAATAGATCTAGCCTCTCAGACAATGTTGTCTGGAATGGCTGCCTCTTTTTCTTTCTTGATCCCAACTTTACCACTTTCTCTGCTGTTTTCATTCTTAGGCAAATATGGTGGCAAAGATGGAAGCCCTCACAATCCCCAGGAGAAGGAGAGTGTTTGTTTTACAATAGAAACTGACCTCCCCTGTCCTGGCTTGGGTCACATGACCGTCCCTGAGCCAAATAGTAGTGCTGCAGTGGTATGCTGGTATACTAGTTTCCTGCAGCTGCTATAACAAATTATCACAAACTTGGTGGCTTAAAACAAGAGAAATTTATTCTTTCACATTTCTGGAGGCCAGTTATCCAAAATCAAGGTGTCACTGGGGCTGTGCTCCCTCCAGCGGCTCTATGCGAGATTCTGTTCCAACTTTTGGTAACTCCAAGCATTCCTTGGTTTGTGGTGGCAGCAATCCAATCTACTCTCTATCTGAAAGGTCACGCTGCCGCCGCCTCTTATCTGTGTGTCTCCTCTGTGCGTATCAAATCTCCCCCTGCCTCACCTAATAAGGACACATATGATAGTGTTTAGGGCCCACAGGGATGATCCGTGGTGATCTCATCTCAAGATCCTTAACTTAATTACAGCTACAAAGACCCTTTTGCCACATAAGTCATATTCACAAATTCCAGGGGTTGGGATGCAAACACATCTTTGGGCACCATTCAACTCACTACACCTAGTAAATGTTGAACACTCGTCTTGACAGAAAAGGGGAAGCCCTGATATACAGTATTCTAGATACTCTATATCTGTAGTATAAATACTGCCACCATGGCCAACTTCAAGCTACCAATGGAAAGTCACCAAACCTGGAATTGGGAAGGGATGCATAGCAGCACATCATTGTACATTACTTCCACCATACAGATCCCCTAGATGTAAGTAACCTCAAAAGCAAAGATAACAGTAAAATGTACTTAAATAATTAGGAAGTGATGAGTTTTGTGTGCTTATTAACTTTGCTTTAAATGTAATTTATTTAATTATAAATTCATATACTTTAAATTTTAATAGTGACTATGTTTAACAATTGGCTCACAACATTCCTGAAAATTTACCAGTTGGTTTGGATGAGCTGGTCTGAGCCAGCTCCAACACACCACTGGATAGAATTGGCTGATTGATCAGGCCTGAATCACAGAGCCTAAGAGGCAGGGTCAACAATATTCAAACCTCAGGAACTACGTTCCTTAAGAGAAAATCAGGGTGCTATTACCCAAGGAAGGGAAATGGAATATTGGGAAGAGAAAAGCAACAAAGCCACTTCAGTATCCCATATTTTAATGATTTCAGGCTAAGGAAAAAATTTTCAGCAAAGTTCAGAGCAGTTACAAGTACAAGTATTATGGCTATCCATGGATCTGCAAATCACTCTCTCCACCTAAGGGAAAATCAATATTTTTCACATTCTCATTTTACTTAGCTCGTAACATTTGTTTTTAAGCCTAGACACATTTATCCCAAGGTGATCGGCTTCAGCAAGAGAGATAAAGACCAATGGTCTTTTAAAAAGTATCATTTAAAAAAATTAACAGCTTTATTGCGATATAGTTTGCACACCATGCAATTCACCCATTTAAAGTGCAAAATTCAATGGTTTTTGGTACATTCACCGAGTTGTTCAACCTTCACCACAATTCATTTTAGAACATTTTCATCAGCCACCCCCCAAAAAACTTCTGCACCACTATAGTGTCATCTTCCAATGCCCCCACTCTGACCCCCAGACCCCAGCAACCACTAGTTTATTTTCTGTCTCTATAGATTTGCCTATTTTAGAAATTTCAAATAAGTGGAATTATACTATGTGTGTTCCTTTGTGACCGGCTTTTTTCGCTTAGCAAAATGTTTTAAGGTTCATCAATCTTGCAGCAGGTATCAATCTTTCATTCCTTTTCTATTGCCAAATAGTATTCCATTGTGTGGATATACCACAGGTTGTTTGTCCATTCGGCAGTTGATAGGTATACGGATTGTTTCCCCTTTTTGGCTATTATGAATAATGCTGCTGTGAACATTCATGGACAAGTTTTTATGTGAACATAGTTTTCATTTCTCTTAAACCAATAGTCTTTCAAGTTAAAATTTTTAGCAAAGTTTCTTATCTTCCACATGCTTAAGGGAAGTGCCATTTAGGAATTAAGTCAGAAATGCCACGTGTAGAATTTCAATCCTCTTAAATGTTGGGTCACTTCCCCAACCCCTTAAGAATCCTGGAAGTGGCTCAGCCCAGAGGAGGAGTTCTGCTCACCAACTCCTGGGCAAAGGAGGAGGGCGCTGTTTGTCAGGAGAAAGTAGGAGCTGGCGGGGGGGCCCACAGACCACTGTGCAGGTGGGACTGAATTCCCTCTGCTACACTGAAGTCCTGGCCTGCCCATAAGAGGCTCACAATAATTACTCCATCACAACGCTCCCTCAGGGACTCCCCATATGCAAAGTATACAGCATAATAACAATAAAGCCTTCCTCTCTGACCTGAAATCAGAGTCATGGGGTTCAGGAAACTTGCAGGAAAAAGGGGGAAAATTTTAGCTTCCCTGCTAGAGGCCAGTAGAGAGGCTCATTTTCTCCCTTGCATGACCTGGGGGAGTTCTTCAGTGTGTCCTGCAGACCTGCGAGGAAAAAACAAAGCTCTATATTAATTTATATAGCAACTTTCTTCCAAGAAATGCAGTGTCTCAAGCAGTCTTTCACTCATTCCTCTGAGGGAGTCTGCATAAATGTGCATAAGAAATTACTTCTTTTAAAATTTACACTCTCCAGTTAGCCAGTCCTGGGCAGAAATAGAACTAGAAAAGCAGCCCTTCTGACCAAACGTCCCGCTATAATATTTTCAGTGAGCGGCCATAAATCAATGCATATCCTTCCAAACAGGATCTCTTCATAACATCCCTGTGACTCTGCTCACTGATGACTGATGCTCCTTTCACCAGCGGCAGAACTTTCCTTCGAGATTTGAATCGACTGGTATGGCATGCACCGTGAGCTGGCGTCTCTCATTTATTTGCAATTAAGTGCTCAGGTCCACCTTGAAACAGGCAGCCCAGATTTCCCTCTTGCTGCTCAGCCCTCCTAACACAGCCCAGCTGAAGACCCCTCAAGAATCCTGGGACTGGCTGGGCCCAAAGGAGTAGGAAGTGGGCTCACAAACTGCAGGCAGAAAATTGGAGTCTGGTCAGTCCCCTCTCCCTGTTGTTACTTGCTGTGTCTCTCTGTCGTTTTTACTCAGGGCTGCACTGCCCCTCAGATCCTGCTGGTCATACTGGAGAACCCTCAGATCCAGTTGCCCAAAGCCCAACTTGGTGGCTCCTGGCTAAGTCTGGGAGAGCTTCCAGCATCGGCCATATGCAGGGTCCAACCCAGCGCTCCACCCCAAACCAAACGCTGTGTTTCTTGTGTTGCGCCTTTCCTCCACATATTCCTATTGTGGGGTTCTCATTGTCCATCCCAGGGAGAAAAAAAGCCTTGGTCAGGGCCACACTGGCTCATGCAGAATCTTGGGGAATCACACACACATCTGTGCCTTTCCTCCCATCCTCAGAAAACTTCTGGGCTCCATAAATTCCTTCTTAGGGATTCTCAGAGAATGGGAAGTCTTAATCTAGTTAGCGACAAAAAATTCATACCAGTGTCCTAGGCTGCATCCAGCCTCAGACAGCCTTTGTTTCAGTCCCCATACTCCTAATCTGCATGTCATTTAAAATTTGTATGAGTTGTCAACAAGGACTGGCCACGTAGTTTGTGGGGCCCAGCACAACATGAAAATGCAGGCCTCTTGTTCAAAATTTAAGAATCTGAAGATGGTAACAGTAGAACATTCAACTAAAAGTGGAGGCCTTTCTTAGTATGGGGTCCTGTGTGACTGCACAGGTCATGTGTCCATGAAGCCAGCCCTGCTACCAACACTTAAAAAGCAAAAAGGTATTATTTGTTTTTTGGGGTTTTTTTTGCTGAGGGAGATTCGCCCTGAGCTAAAATCTGTGCCAATCTTCCTCTATTTTGTATGTGGGCTGCCGCCACTGCATGGCTTGGAACAAGTGGTGCAGGTCTACTCCCAGGAACCGATCCCAGGCTGCTGGAGCAGACCATGCTGAACTTAACCGCTAGGCCATGGGGCCAGCCCCCCCAAACAAAAGATTCTTAAACTCTCTTAAAACCTAAAATACTTGGTGATTCTAGGTCTGCATCCCCAACTGGAGCACAAAATTGGCAGTGCCGAGTTGAGACTTGTCAGTTTGCTAGGGTTTTCATAACAAAGTCCCACAGACTGAGTGGCTTAAAGGACAGAAAACATATTTTCTCACAATTCTCGAGGCTAGAAATCTGAGATCAAGGTGTCGGCAGGATTGCTTTTTTCTAAGGCCTCACTCCCTGGCTTGCCTTCTCAGTGATGGGCGGCTTCTCACTGTATCTTCACATCTGGTCTTCCCTCTGTACCTGTCTGGGTCCCAATCTCCTCTTCTTATAAGGATTTCCCAAGTCACTTTGGATTAGAGCTCACCCTCATGACCTCCTTTTAACTCAATCACCTCTTTAAAGGCCCTATCTTCAAATATAATCACCTTCTGAGGTACTGGGGTTTAAGGCTTCTACATATGAATTTTGGAGGAACACAATTCAGCCCATAACACAGCTGTTCCCTTTAGAAGGGGCACAGCGCTCCAAGTCACTATACCAGCCATGTCCCCAACAGTTGCCACTGGTCATCTTGTTCGTGCTGCTCTCCTTCCTCCGAGCTGACCTCTGTCATATAGATGGACCTGCTCTTCTGTGTAGCATATGGAATAGTGATGGTGTCTATTATGTGACAGTGACTGCACCCTCCACTTCTGCAAAACTGACGTTGCTACTAAGCGATCCTTCGCAGGACTATAATCATTTTCATCAAAACGAAACCCAAATGTACCCATTACATAGAGATGAAATGCAAGTCAGCTCAGACAGAAGAAATTGCCATGAGGTCTAACTGCTCCTGTCAGAGCCTAGACTTGTAGGTTTTAGGAAAGGGAACTCTCAGTGGCCAGATAATTCTCCCTGGGCCTGATCCTACTTAAAATCAGCTGACCATTCAAGGGACGGCCCTAAATTTCAATGGGAACACAACCATCCAGCTCCTTAGAGACAGCATGCTCCCAAACTGGTCTTTTTACCTATTCGTAGAACTGTTAGCTTATAGCTGAAAACTCAGCTAATTCTGGGGAAGGTTTTGGTCTTGTGCCTGGAACTATTGAAACATATATTCACACCTACCACATGTAACACTTAGTAGCATAATTTCCAGCACAACACTTTAGTACTTTATTTTTAAAAGAAACAGAGCAGAGACTGAAGACCTGCTCACACTGCTGCTTTTTGCAGGAAGCTCCACAAAGGGTGGAGGGGATGGCTTCTGCACCGAAATGAGGTATATTTTGCATTTTTGAATGGCAAGGTGACACAAAAATCTTTGCTCACAATCAGGGAATTTGTGATGCAGAAACATGTAACATTTGCACCTGCATGTAAATAGAAAAAAAATCATGTCAAATCTACAAGGCTCTGGGAAAAAAGTGTAACGATAATCTAATAAATCCCAATATTAGAGCGTGGAAAAGACCTTAAAAACATCTGACTCTAACCTCTTTGGTTTTAAGACATGGAAAGAGAGGTTCTAAAATTTTTAGTGACTGCTGCAGACCAGCACTGCACCTAAAATGCAGGTCTTTTTTTCCAGGCCAGCGTACTTGCCACCACACCAGGCTGCTTCTAAACAGGCATTGTCCTGTTGGCCTAAATTGCATGCAAGAAAAACAAAACCCCGCTCTCTCTACACCAGAGTCTCTATTTAGACTCCAGAATTGAGAAAGCAAAGGCTATTTCAACTTCAACTCCCTTAGCAAACAGAAGAAAAGGCATCTGACCCGTGGACTTTTCCAGCTGGTCCTGGGTCTCGCCGCCTGCGGGTCTCCGCAGCAGCTAGCTGGCGCCGACAGCCAGTCTGCCACCAGGGGGCGCAGCAGCCTTTGTCCTGACACAGGCATTGAAGGCAGGCTCTGAAACCTGGCTGGGCCTCCAAGAAAATCTGCTTTTCCCTTCTTTGACGGTTTCTCTCTGGAACCAGCCCACTCCCCAGCCCCCTTCATTCATCTTAAAACCATTTTCTTCTTCCTCCCTGACCTTCAGATTCTCCCTCCGCACCATCTCAGATTTGTGAGCGTTCCAGGGTGTTGCGCCTGGTTCTAAGAGGGTCTTTACAGAGACACCGGCCCCTCCGCAGCTGCTCCTCCTCTGAAAGCCTAGGAGACGGTGGCCACGGCAAATCATTTGCTCTCACTTGGAGGCCCCCCACTTCGGGATGTTTCTAAAGATTCTTCCAGGAAGGAGCCTCAAGGACAGGACTAGCTTTCTAGAATAATTATCACATCCATCCTCTAATTCCCCTCCTTTTCACTCAAATAAACAAATGAAATGGCTGGTTCTTGGAAGCTTATGCTGCCTGGCGTTCACCCTCAACCTCTCTATGTGTCCCCTCTACGTGCCTTTGATGGTGGCCAGCTACCCAAAGGGACAGGTGTAAGCATCCTTTCACCCACACCTCTTACCAACCCCCCTCCCACCCTAAGCAAGGGTAATTGCCTCCTTCTGCCCTCTCCAGCTTGGCTCTGTGTGTTCTCTAGCAGAAAGCAATCCACTTCATATTCCCAATGTCTCTGATTCCAAAGACTCAGTGTGCCTGTCTTTCACAGATAAATGAACATCCCCTTCCACTTTAAGACACACTTCTAGCCCTGCCCCATAGACACAACACACACACAATGCAAACCCTCAAATCCCCACACAACCTTTTGCGAAAAACCCTAAAAATCCACTCTTCCAAACTGAAGGACCACGAGGTCCTAAACAGGCCTTTGAAAAGCAGCTGTTCTCTTTGCACAGAGAGATTTCGGGTTGACACAGCTCTTTTCCTGTCTCTCATTTGAGCCTCCCAACAGCCCTGAGAGACAGGCAGGGAAATCTAAAGCTTAAGAGGCTCGCCCCAATCCCAGAGCTAGTACAGGGGGAAGGCAGCACTGGGGGGACAGAACTCAGGTGAGAGGGTCCCGAAGAGAGCTGCTGATCATTTGCCTGGAGGCCTGGAAGGAGTGCGGCCATCACATGATCATGAGGTTATCTGCACCAAGAGAGCCTACGGTCTCTGCTCCTGAAAACCTATAGCATTAGTGGGAGCCTGGAAGGGGCCGGAGGAGAGGGGAGGAAGAGCTGATGTTAACTCTGACCTCACCCTTCTTTTTATCTGGCCTCACTCACTCCTTTTTTCTCCCCATTCACCTTACTTAGTAAAGTAATGAAGGCACTGAGCCTGGAGACAGGTAGCCAGGGTTATCTTGATGGTGAGCCTCTCTCCTCATTCATAAAGTAATGATAACATCTATCAGATAGGGACAGAGCCACTAAAAGTACAGAAAATAACGTAATTCTGGGAGAGGGGGCAGAGTAGGAGACTTTTACTTTCATTTTATGCCCTTTGGTATTATTTGAAGTATTTTGATTTAGGCATATATTACTTTTATACTTTCATTTTAAAATTTTTATTGGGGCTAATGATGGCCTTGCATGTTGCTGCGATGATGAC